TCAGATAGTTCTCATCACACTGCGAAACACCCAACATCACTTTGTAGCCTTCCTGGCGATTCCCCTCACCTCCTGGGTCGCCCGCTTGCCTTCGCCCTCCTCACTACACACTCCCTACGGTCGCTCACCCAGCAGACCGCATGCATGTACCGCATAGGCAGAAGACAAGCGCCAAATTAGCGCAACGTACCACAGCTCTGATACCAAAATGCAAGGAAAATGAGCGAGAGTGAATTCCAGAAAACCAAGCAGCATCATACACATGAAACCAGATAGTCGTGACCTCGAACCAAAAGCAGAATTGCAACTCGAGTTCCACCAAATAAGAGCACAGCAAAAGCTCACATGTGACAATGTTGAGTCTCATCATCATCAACAAAGAACCAATGTCGACATCCTATCTGGCGCCAGACTACAAATGGCAGATCCTATCTAGCCTATCTACAATGCCGCTGGTGACGTCAACAGCTCCCCGAAGTACGAGCAGATCTTGGTCAATTCCGTTCGCCTCAAGCATCAGGCATGTCTCTCACATCACTCACAACCTCGATCCCCCACTCACAGATGCCACATGCACCCAAGGACCACCATGCGCCCCATCCAGCACAGCGCAGGGAAGCTCGGCTATGGCTGTCTGCTCTTCCTGCTCGCCCGTGAGCGCGTGGGCGCTGGCCAGCGATTAGCGCAGCAGCGCATGCGCAGCATGCAGCCAGTGCCCGGATGCCAAATGCTGGGGCAGGCCCTTTCCTATATGGAAGTGGCCTGCCTGCTGCTTGCGGTCTGGCTGCACTGGGCCCCTGCCCAGAAGCTTCCGGTAGGCCCGAAGTGGCAGAGCCGCGGTCCAAGGGAAACAGGCCCAGGGCCTAGGGCGGTTACCCGTGTTCAACTGCCCACAGCCTGTGTTCGGTCCATGTCGCGTGTCTGGCCCAGGGCCTGCCTCAGATACATTTCATAAAGGCAGCCTGGGCCTGGGAGCTCTCAACCAACTGGCGCTGTGCAACTGCCTGAATTTTCCCCAGTTGCATGGTAGTCCAAAAATAGGCCTCTCGTCCTTGGCCTGCCTGCCTTCACTTAGGGCGGCCGACAGTGCTGGAAACAGGGCCCGGTAGGGCTCGTCGAGGCCTTGAGCCTCGCAGTAGGAACCATGGGGGAATTTCAGCGGGCTGTTTAGGTTGGTAGCAGATAGCTTGGGACTGGGACTGCAGATAGCTTGGGGACTGGAACCGAGCACTGGCATGCGCTCATAACAACAGTTGATCAGATAGTACTTGATGTCTCCCCTTTGGGAGCCATCCATGCTGTTTGGTGTGGTCCCTCTGACTGTATCAAGAGGAAGTGTGTTACCCTTTTTTTTTTTTTTTTTTTTTTTTGAACCATTTCTCAACTTATTTCAAGTTATTTGTGGCATCCTTGCGCAGACGCCCCCCTAAAAATCTTCTCCGTATGGTTCCAATTTTAATGGATGTTTCATCCTTGCTCAAAGACCATGCTACTCTTCTCTGTATCGTTCAATGGATGTCCTGAAGCGTGTTAACAAAAAAACAGAACCTTTCCGCTCCGGTTCCTTGTCCTTTCTGGGGAACATCAGTCCAGTTTGTAGATTGGAACCAATGGTAGGGGTTGCTAGGGGTGTCTGCTCATACCAGCACCCCTAGCAAAGACACCCCTAGCAAACCCGGGGTGTTCAAAAAAACAAAAAACAAAAAACAAAAAGACACACAATGCATACACAATTCCGACGCTTCTCCCCATTTTGTACGGGTGATCCGAGTGGGCGGCATTGATTACTTCCACTTGGAAGGATGTTACCCCCCCCCCCCCCCCCCCCCCCCC